TGTGTATGTGTGTGTGTGTGTGTTAGTTGCTCAGTTGTGTCTGACTCTTTGCGACCTCATGGACTGTAGCCTACCGGAATTCTCTAAACAAGAATACTGGAGTGCATAGCCATTCTTTTCTCCAGGGCATCGTGTTGACCCAGGGACTGAACCCGGGTCTCCCACATTGTAGGAAGATTCTTTTACGGTCTGAGTCACAAGAGAAGCTCCTATAGCATGTCAGTCAGTTCAGTTCAGTTGCTCAGTCGTGTCCGACTCTTTTCGACCCCATGAATCGCAGCACGCCAGGTCTCCCTGTCCATCACCAACTCCCGGAGCTTACTCAAACTCGTGTCCATCGAGTTGGTGATGCCATCCAGCCATCTCATCCTCTGTCATCCTCTTCTCCTCCTGCCCCCAATCCCTCCCAGCATCAGGGTCTTTTCCAATGAATCAACTCTTAGCATGAGGTGGCCAAAGGATTGGAGTTTCAGCTTCAGCATCAGTCCTTCCAATGAACACCCAGGACTGATCTTCTTTAGGATGGACTGTTTGGATCTCCTTGCAGTCCAAAGCACTCTCAAGAGTCTTCTCCAACACCACAGTTCAAAAGCATCAATTCTTTGGTGCTCAGCTTTCTTCACAGTCCAACTCTCACATCCATACATGACCACTGGAAAAACCATAGCCTTGACTAGACGAACCTTTGTTGGCAAAGTAATGTCTCTGCTTTTTAATATATCTAGGTTGGCCATAACTTTCCTTCCAAGGAGTAAGCATCTTTTAATTTCATGGCTGCCTATAGCATTTAGGTGTGTCTTATTGTATAGCTGTTTTTATATGGTTGCTCCAGTTATTGCATTTACATAACACAGACTATTGGTAATATTATTTTACCTATTTGAACATAATGTATAAGTATTGCCTCCTTTTACACTTATTTATTCTCCCCATTCATAAAATAATTTTCTTTAGTATTTCCTCCATGTGTGTCTAGAGCCTCATTAGACAGTGTTATAATTTTTCCCAGATATATAATTATATTATTATATATATGTTATTATATAACACATTTAATATGCTATAAAATATTTCCACCAAATATAATTTAGGAAATTCAAGAGGAAAAGTCTATTGTATTTATCCATATTTTTGCTTATTGTATTCTTTATTCCTTCTTGTTGTCTCAAGACTCCTTCCTTTATAATTTTATTTCTGTTTATAGAGCTTCCTTTAGACATAATTTTAGGATAGGTCTTCTGGTGACCACTTTTCTTAGTTTTCCTTCAACTGAGAATGTCTGAATTTCACCTTTATTAGTGAAGGCTTCTGGATTAATGGCTCTTCTCTTTCTGCAGGTGAAATATATTGGATTATTTCCTTCTGACTCAGTTAAATCTGGAGACTAAAAAAATTGTAACACTGTGATTTTATGTTTCATTCTAAAAATTATTTTGTATCCAACACTTAAAAGTTGAAGGATAGCTGATTGACAATGTCATGCGAATTTCTTCTGTAGAGCAAAGTGACTCAGTTATACATATATAGACTTTCTTTTTTGTTTTCTTTTCCATTATTGTTTACCCCTGGATATTGAATATAGTTCTCTGTACTCTACAGTAACACAGGAAATTTTTAACTCATAATTCTGTTTTTTTAAAAAGCCAAATAGTTCAAGGCTGACAACATATAAATCCTCTTCCGTACATAATCATAATGCTTTGAAATTCAACCACAGAAGGGCAGTAAAAAGGTGGGGCATGTTAATGAAAAGTGAACTTCTCCGTAATTCTCTATTTGGCCTCTGGAGGGCACTGCTGCCTAAATTGGAAATTGTTTTTCTGTGAAGGATCAGAAGAACCTCACAAAACCCTAGGTTTTAATGAGATATTCTGACCATTTTTTACACAGTGAGATGTAAAGCATCTCAGACACCAGAGACAGGCATTTTGTTAAGACAGCTTCTCTTCCTAACAACCTCCCTACAATCTCCATCAGAAGAAATATATATCCTTTGTCATTCTTAACTTCAGAGAAACCTGGGTTCAAGTCAGCCAGTCTTCAGACTTATTTGTGGGGAATCTGTTAGAAAGGAGCTCACTGCCTCTTCACTGCTCCACTATGACCTTGGTGTTCACCTTGATGCTTGAGATGCTCCTGTTTCTGAGTGAGTATTGCTCCATTTCACTCCTTTGCTCTGTGTTGAATAGAGACTTTTTGTTTTAGCTGAGCTCACTGATTCAGCACTGATGTTTCAGCAGGAGCTGGAGCTCAGTCAGTGACCCTGGCTGATGACCACATCACTGTCTCTGAAGGAGCCCGTCTGGAGCTGAAGTGCAACTACTCATCTTCTGTTTCACCATACCTCTTCTGGTCCGTGCAGTACCCGGACCAAGGACTCCAGCTTCCCCTGAAGTACGTGTCTGGAGACAATCTTGTTTCAGGCATCAAAGGTTTTGAGGCTGAATTTAGGAGGAATGAGAAGTCCTTCCACCTGAGAAAAATACCAGCTCATTGGAAAGACTCGGCCAAGTACTTCTGTGCTCTGAGTGACACAGTGCCTGGGGCTGCAGGAGGAGCTGAACACAAACCTCCTGGACACTGTAGCTCAGTCTTTGTTATATTTAGGAAGTTGGCGTGTTCTGTGAAGGCAAACAGCACAGACAATACAGAATCCTGGAAGTGTTTGGTTCCCATGGGCATCTTAGATTTTTCTTTTCTTCATTTTTTCTTGTCTTTTCTATTCTTTTTTCTTTATCATTTTGCAAAGGAAAGACTCCTGTTTTCTGAAATTTGGCATTTTTGTCCTCTAGAATCAGAATTCTAGGGAAAATGAGGCTGTAAAATTTTCAACAAGCTGGGGAAAGCTAGTTACTCCCATGTCATTTGGAATAGTGATGGGCTGAGATATAATAGCTTGAGGTTGGCCATGTGAGTTGATACAACACAAGTCAGAGAATTTGCTTTACAATACTAATCTCATCTCTCAAGCAAACAAAAACCCAGGACAATGCCTTATTTCTAACTGCATTATCTCCAGACTATTTTGCTAGTATCCTAAGAAACTTCTTTCCTTAAAGGATTTCAGCTCCTTAACTAAAGCATTTGAGACTGGTGGAGCTAATTACTGTTGGCACTTAACGATGTATATGGGTGACCTTTCCAAACACAATATATTATAAAGCCAAAAAAGTTCTCCTTTATTCATCAGTCTCCAATAATAGGCTTCCCAGGTGGTGCAGTGCTAAAGAATCTGCCTGCCAATGCAGGAGACACAAGGGCATCCTCCCTAATGAGGAGGAAGATGAGGAGTGCAGTGAAGAGGTGGTTAAGTCATCTATATGGGGAAGTTCTTCTGGGTCTGTGTTTATCTTTGGCCAGATATATCTCTCCTTTTCCCACATCAGACCTGTTTTAGGACACTCCTGAAAGATGCATGTGCATCTTTTTGCCAAGATGGATTCCAGCACAGAGCTTTGTGGGATGCTTGGCATCATCTGTTATGAGGTGGTGCCACCTCCTTTTTGAGCTCCGAGGAGTCTTTCTGTGCCTGCGCAGTTTTCCTTGACCTCTTGACCTCAGAAGTGGTCACTTTTTTACTCTAGTAGAGCTCAGCTCCTGCCGTTAATTGTCTTGATTACTGAGGCTAATTAGCATGACAGGTTAATGAATCTGAGAGAAGAGGTGTGGGGGCAAGGAGGTTATTCTGGAAGCTGGCTGACCAAGAAGATGGCAGACTAATGCCTCAAAATAACCATCTTGTCTGGGTCTGGATGCCAAGTTCTTTTACAGAACAGGGACGGGGAAGGTGAGTAAACAAATTAAAAAGGCAAAATTAATCTTGTAAACATCTCCTAGAATGGCAAGCCTCAGGCAGGGGATGTATTAAATTCTTCTTTCCTACCATCCACAGGTGGACAGGTCATGAACAAAAGCCCTTTAGCAGTGAGGCCGAGGGGCTGATTCTCTGAGGCAGCCCATTATGTATGATTATAATAACAAAAGCAGTGAAAAGCAAGTCAAAGGAACAGTTCCAACAAGGTAGAATTGGTTCTTCCCTCAGTATTTGGAGTGTGTAGGGAAAACAAAGCTTGAATTTTACTCTGCTTGACAAATACCAGCTGTCTAGCCCAGGGGCCCATTTACCTCCTACCTCCGAAACTCATTCTGAGTTTTCATGTGCTCAGTCACTCAGTCCGGTCTTACTCTTTGCCATCCCGTCGACTATAGCCCACCAGGCCCCCCTGGCCATCGGATTTCCCGAACAAGAATACTGGATCTGGTTGCCATTTCCTTCTCCAGAGGACCTTCCCGACTCAGAGATCAAATCCCCATCTCTTTCATCCCCTGAATTGGCAAGTATATTCTTTACCACTCCATCCCCTGGAAAACTCTTTCAAATGGGGGTTAGTAATAATAGAGGAGGATAATTTTGTGTGAAGAAAAGCTAAATCATTATTGGCATATAAGAAGCATGCTTTTTGATGAATATTCCTTTCAATTAATAGCTCTGTCTTATTCCCTGATTCAAGCACTAGACATTTATGACCATAATGCAAAATATCTGTATTTACATTGATTGTTATTATCTATGTCATTATCTTTATCCATAGCTCTCAGGAAAGTCCCCTGGATCAAACAGGGAGTCATAAACAAAAGGTAAGATGGAAAATTCTGAGGTATAGATACCAGCTTTTTCTGATTTTTTTTCACTTTTATTGCCTAAGATTTATTTATTAATATATATCAGGAGAAAATAGGAACTTCCATTTCACAAGTTCAAAATTATGTATAAAACATTGCATGTCACCTTTTCCCTCCACTCTCACCCCTCTTTAACCTGTTTTTAGTTCAGTTGAGACCAGAGGGTGGGGCTGCCTGTCACAGAGTGTCGCTGAGCAGGGTTTGTAGGCTGAGCTGATTGGTTGCAGGAACTGAAATATCCAGACAAGTCATGACACTCACCACCCAGGGTTTGCTATGTATCTTGTGAATGTTTTCCAGCAACAAGGCAAAGCATCATGAAAAGGCTAGTGGACACTGTTCTGGGGCTTTTGTTTGCCCAGGTTTGCTGTGAGTTGGGGCTGCCCCACAGGGGAATCTGAAGGAATGAGCAGCTTCTCTTTTGCTGAAGGAGGAAGAGGAACTGACAAGTCCTGCAGACTTTCTATCCTTATCATTTATGGGGTTGGGGGTGTACTTCCCGGGTTTTGCAGGCGCTCTGTGACCCTCACCTGTGACTGTTTCTCTCCTTTTCATCAGGTGTGCGAGGGATGGATGTGGAGCAGAGTCCCCCAGCCCTGAGTCTCCAGGAGGGAGCCAGCTCTACTCTGCGGTGTAATTTCTCCACCTCCTCAAACAATGTACACTGGTATCTTCAGAACCCCGGGGGCCGCCTCATCCGTCTGTTTTACATTCCTTCAGGGACAAAGCAGGAAGGAAGATTAAATGCCACCACAGTCCCTGCAGAACGCCGTAGCTCACTGCACATTTCCTCTTCACGGACCACAGACGTGGGCACTTACTTCTGTGCTGCGCAGCACGGTGCTCCCCAGGCACCTGCAGCCTCTACAGGAACCCTCCCGGGGCTCAGCCCCTCCTCCAGCCTCAGTCACACCGTGAGGCCCCACAGGGCATTTGCAGTGCTGATTGTTTCTTACCTACACTGGTACAGTTTAATCACACATACTTTCCGGCTACAGATTGTGAACTTCGGTCTTTATCTTCCTTTCTCAACCTGTATTTCCTTCTGCACTAGAGACTTCTAACTTGGAACTGGCAGAATAGCTGATAAGGGGACAAAAATAAAATGAATATTCAACCACAGTATGCTGATCTCAAAAGCGGTAAAAAGTGAGAAGAATTCAGAGAAAAAAATAACTCCAATAAAGTTGTTATCCTGATTAGTTAGCTGTCTCAAGAATGTTCAGCTCTGCCTCACCAGAATGTGTCCCAAAGACACTTGCATCATCCCATCCTACTGAGTGCAGCAGTGAGCAACAACAATAAACCTTACTCAATGTTTAGTATGAGCTTGATAACATAGAAGAAAATTATTCTGGATGCAAGAAATCTTAAATCTATTTCCATAGTCAAGGTCTTGGAAGAGTTGATTGCTTCTTGAGATCTAAAGGATAATCCATTTCCTTGCCTTTCTTAGCTTTTGAAGGCCAACTAATTTCTTTGGTTCATGACTCCTTGAATCACTAGAACTTCTTGCTTCCCTAACCATAGCTCCTTCCTCTTTTGGAATCAAATATCTTTCTGTCTCTGTCCTATAAGGTATAAAAAATATTAAACAGAAATCTCAGTTAAATAGAGTTGGGAGACAGAGGGAGCTCTCGTGACCTGTGGACATAGTGGAGGGCAAGGGGAAGATGAGGATGCCTCTTATTTCCTGGCAAGGACTCAGCCAATGAAAAGCCATGGGCTCTTGTTTACTGCAGCCCTCTCAGCTTCCTTTTTCAACTTACATTGTCTTAAATTCTTTTCAACAATGTCTTACAATTTTCAGAGAACAGGTCTTTCACTTCATTCATTAAATTTATTCCTAGGTACTTTTGATTCTTTTTGATTCAACTAGAAATTGGATTGCTTTCTTAAATTCTCTTTCTGATACTTATTATTAGAATATAGAAATGCAACAGACTGCTGTATATTAATCTTGTATTCTGCAACTTTATCTTGTAATCAGCTTTGTTGATTGTTTCTATTAGTTTTTTTGGTGGTGTCTTTACAATTTTCTATGTAGAGTATCATGCTGTCTGTAATTAGAGACAGTTTACCTCTTTATTTTCAACTTGGATGCCAATTATTTCTTTTTCCCATCTGATTACTGAGACTAGGACTTTCAGCACTATTTTAAATAGAAATGGTGAGAGTTGCATCCTTGTTTTGTTACTAATCTTGGAGAAAAAGATTAAGTTTTTTACCATTTAGTATGATGTCAGCTGTAGATTTGTAACAAATGGTCTATTATTTCGAGGCATGCTCTCTTTATACCAAATATGTTGACAGTTTTCATCATGAATGTTAAATCTTGTCAAAATTTTTATGCATCTATTGACATAGTCATGTAATTTTTATCCTTTATATTCTATTGACATGGTATATCACCTTGCTTGATTTGTGGATTCTGAACCATCGTTGCACACCTGAAATAAATCTGTTGATCATGATGCATGATTCTTTCAAGTTTTGTTGAATTCAGTGTGCTACTATTTTGTTAAGAATTTTTGCATCTATAGTCATCAGAAATATTGGCCTGAATTTTCCTTTTTGTAGAATCTTTGTCTGATTTTGTGTCAGGATATTGTAGGCTTCAGAGAATGAGAGTGAGAGCATTTCCTCATCTTTGATTTTTAGGAATAATTTGCAAAGGGTGGGTACTAATTTTTCTTTAAATATTCAGTTGAATTTCTTCTTGAAGCATATGGCCCTGGATTTCTGTTTCTCAGGAATTTTTTGATTACTGGTTCAACTTAATTACTAGTAATTGGTCTGTTCAATTTTCTTTTTCTTTCACATTCCGTCTTGGAAGACTGTGTGTGTCCAGGAATGTATCACTTTTACAGTCATATTTTTAGAGTCCAGGCATTAGGACTTGAATAACTTTGGGAGTCCTTTTTCAGGCTACCACATTTATTACAGCAACGCTGGCTATCCATTTTCCACCCCTCCGGCATTTGCTGTTATCTGCTTGTTTATTTGCCTAGTGACTTGATTATTTCAGGTAAGTTAATTTTTCCCATAGTGTACAGCCTATGATGTTGTTCCTCAAAGGATATAGTCTTGGGTACATTCTCAGACATCCTAATGCAGTAGTGGGTTAGCAAGGCTCTTTAACAGTCTTATTCTCTAATTTCTATGCTAGACTATTTGCTTCTATTTGTATTCAGTTCAGTTCAGTTCAGTCACTCAGTCGTGTCCAATTCTCTGCGATCCCATGAATCGCAGAACGCCAGGCCTCTCTGTCCATCACCAACTCCCAGAGTTTACTCATACTCATGTCCATCGAGTCAGTGATGCCACCCAGCCATCTCATCCTCTGTCCTCCCCTTCTCCTCCTGCCCCCAATCCCTCCCAGCATCAGGGTCTTTTCCAACGAGTCAACTCTTTGCATGAGGTGGCCAAAGTATTGGAGTTTCAGCTTCAGCATCAGTCCTTCCAATGAACACCCAGGACTGACCTCATTTAGGATGGACTGGTTGGATCTCCTTGCAGTCCAAGGGACTCTCAAGAGTCTTCTCCAACACCACAGTTCAAAAGCATCAATTCTTTGGCACCTAAGCAATAGATTCCACTAATCGCTGGCTGATTTTTTTCCAACAATGCTATGAAGCCATAAATTTTTCCTAGGTTTCATCTAATTAAATCAAGCCTGTTTGCAGAGACAGCCTTTGAAACTTTTCTTTGAGGTCTTCTGACCAGAGAGGACTTTTCCTAGCTCTCCCCTTTCCTATACTTTCTGTTAAGATTTTAAGTTGTTGTCTATGAATTAACTTGTTGCTCTCATTGAGTTGCCAGCCTTCTCTTAATTGTTTACCATAAGCATCTCCATTGTTTTCAACAGCACCCTTAAACTTGAGCTTCCCAATGATGGTTTCAAATAAAATCTTCTCAAAGGAAGACCTCTGTTTTTCCAGCTGCTTCTCTCCGTGGGCACAACACCTGAGCCACTGCTCTGGACCTGTAATAAGGGACAGTTGGCTGCTTGTCTCAGAGTGACATCCCTGTGTTATGAGAAGCGTGATGGAAGGGAGCAGTAGCCTCTTGTCTTCCTGGCTTGCCTTTGCCAGCATGAAATCACCACTCTGTGAGCTGGGATGAGAGTGAGAGGACCCAGTATCCTCAGTCTACCATGCCTGACATAGAACCTCTGTGCTATAAGTGAGGTGAGAAGTGGCCATAGAGCTGTCAGCTTTTCTTGTTTGTAACACAGTTTCTGTAACACAGGCCTGGGGGAGGTAAGAAAGGACAGCAGTCAGCCCCTCTGTAGGAATATGATAACCCTGCACTGCGGACTGGAGAGAGAAGGAGCCTTGTGTCCTTGGTTGTGCCCACCTTGAGTAGAATTTCCATCATCTTGAGCTGGGGCCGGGGAGTGTGTCATGGTACAATTGCCACAGATTCTTTATGCTGTCATGGAGATTTAGTAGATTTTATGAATAAATGTGTCTCTATTATCCTTTTTATATGCTGTATAACCTAAAGACTATGTCCAGAGGCTTTAGTTTCTTAAAAATAATTTTCATCTGTTTTAACTGTTTTGTTGGAGAGAGATCCATACATCAACTCACAAAGTCATCCTGGAAGTCTGCTATTTACATTATTAGCACCAATAGAATAGGTTTAGACAGAATATAATCAGAAGTTGAGCTTTTCTTTGAGACTCATTGGCTTTTTCCACTGACAAATAAAGTTGTCTTCTTGTCTTTAGCCTAAACCTGCCACAAAAATAATTCTACCATGGATCTCCATATTAACACAATCATGTTTTCTGAGAGTATTAATATTGAAAAACAGGAATATCATATCTTTTCTGAAACACTAGTTATTCTTAGAGCTATTCTCCATAGTATAAAGGTGGGACGGGGAGTCGGGATGGGGAATACATGTAAATCCATGGCTGATTCATGTCAATGTATGACAAAAACCACCACAATATTGTAAAGTAATTAGCCTCCAACTAATAAAAATAAATGGGAAAAAAAAAAGAAATACTCCAAAGAGGTAAGAAAGATTAACAGTCGTATCTTCTAAGTTTTGACTCTTCAACAGAAAGCACCATTAGTGTTGGGTTTTTATAATATCTAATATTAGCGTATCAAAGATAGCATAATTATGAGAAGTAGTATAATTTTTCACTAATGAAAATAATGGACAAGCTATTTAAATACTCTCTGCCTTGGGTCCTCTTCCTCATTCTCAGACCTCGAGAGGAAGATCCACCAGGTTCCTCTGCCCGTGGGATTTTCCTGGCAAGAATACTGGACTGGGTTGCCATTTCCTCCTCCAGGGGATCTTCCCGACCCAGGGATCGAACTGGAGTCTTACGTCTCCTGCCTTGGCAGGCGGCTTCTTTACCACTAGCACCGCTTGGGAAGCCCACTGATTAGGGCAAAGGCAAAGGCCAAACAAGAGGAAGATTTCAGATGTTCCTGATGTTCTGTCTGCCTGGTTCCGTGGGGAGCGCTAGAGCACATATCAGACTATACTGTATCACTTAGACAAAAGAATTGGATAGTCCCAGAAATCAGTTATTATCTAAGCTCCTGGCAGCAAAACACAAAGAACCTGGGGACTGAGCCCAGATGAGGTTTCTGAGAAAATTTGAGCAAGGTACCAACAATGCCTAATACAGCCACTGTAACATTTATTCCTTAGAACAGTCCTGCAGGTTTCACTGCTTTTGCTATTATTCAAGTCAAATTCTCCAATGTCCACATTTGTCTTTGAACTTTCTTTGCCTATCCAACCAACCCTCATCTCTTTCTAGCCATGTCTACACATGTCTTCCCATCTGCTTTAATCTTCACACTTCTCTGCTCCCTAAGTGATGAAGAATATTTTTCACTCACAAACCCATGTTTCTCTCCTGTCCCTGGGTATTTTCCTCCCCAGTCTTTCCTTCAGACCTCTT